CAGTATATAGGCTCCTTAGTGTAGGTGAGAAACCTAGGTGACACACAGTCCACACCCCTGCCAGCCAGTGCCTTACAATATATATACATATACTGTATATTTTAAAGTATACATAGAAACAAGGTGTTGAAGTCTAATATGGATTGATAACACTGTTTACATTAGGCAAACCTCTGTTATATTCAAATACGTGTATAAAAAAGATAGATATACTTTGTGCAGGATGGAAGTTTGTTTTTGTTTTTTTAAAGAAAGGAAACATCAGTAAAGCTGGCCATACACCTATAGATTATCTGCAGATTTTCTATGGTCAGATGGAAAAAGTGCAACAGATTCCTCCATCTACGCTAAACGGTGTGGATGGAGGAATCTCCCACTGGGCCAAGCTTCAGTATCTTGCTAGTCAGCTCCGCTGGCTGTCAAAATACCTGAACAATGCCTGCATCCAATCAGATTGTTCAGGTATTTTGCACTTGTTCCATCTGACCATAGAAAATCTGTAGATAATCTATAGGTGTATGGCCAGCTTAAGACTGAGTACAGTTAGTGTGTACTAGAACAAAGAGCTCACAGTTACGGACAGTTAAAAGAGGAAGGGTCATGCAGCTGAGATACAGTATGTCAAGAGGTATACGTTGACCATTCCAATTCCAGCGTGTCTTGCAATTTAAACGAAGATGGGAATTAGAAAAGAAGTCACAGTAATAACAGCAATAGGAGCTAATTGGGAATCATAAAGTGTACAACCCTAATAGTTGTATAAACATGGCCCAGATGTGTGGACTGATAAATGATCATGGTGGAGGGTGAAAGCCCACTTTTGGACGAGTTTAGAATGTGTGATAAAGCAAGAAAGAAGACAAAGTAAGGTGGTGATGGTGGTGGGGGGTATTATAGGAGAAATAGAAGGGACCTGGTTAAGAACATGGGGCTGGTGGGAGGACCTGACTTGGGGAACATGGGCTCCACCAGGTAAATGCTGCTTACAGGTTTACTGTGGGTGATCACAAGTTTATTGCGGGTAATCCAGTGTGGGTGGGTACAAGTTTACTGTAAGTGGTTACAAGTGGTTACTGTGGGTGATTGATGATGGGCCATCCAAGCAGACCAGATTTTAAGGGAAATTTTCTGATTGTCACTGGAAGTTTAGATTTTTCAGTCTAACTTGTCTGCACAATAGCTTTAGGTCACTGTTTCATTAGTTAGTGTAGCTTGGATCACAACGACAACTCTAGGGCCTGCACTTTTAAAAGTAAATCAGCAATGGCAGCTCTCATTGCCTGTCCTTTGGGGTTCACATGAATACACTTGTATTCCAGAATCCTGCTGCACTCCTTATCGGGTATCCCTGTCAGCGCGGGGGCTCGAAGTGACCGTGGATGGCGACGCCAATACTGAAACTTGTTAAAGATGTCACTAGCACACCATATTGAAATGAAGAACACGTCCGTTTATTGAGTGGTTTTCTGTTCATTTGCACTGCTGGTTTGGCTACATAAGATCGTTTTTTGTTAGCTGTACTGTCATTTGAAGCCTGATGAAGGGGACCCTGTGTGGCCCTGAAACGTTGCTATTTGTTTTGACATGAAGCATCAATAAACAGACATGTTCTTCACTTCAATATGGTGTGCTGGTGACATGTTTCATAAGCACATGAATACACTGTCCACAGAAATGTCCCATAGATTTTTCTGTAAATATATATAAAACTGACGATCAAAGACCAATTAGAGTTATTTCCAATTATATGATCACTATGTCAGCTCTGACATGGTGATAATGTGCAAGCTGCAGGCTTCATTGACAAAAATGAAAGCCTTCAGGCTGCAGTGTGCATCTGCCTCACTGTCTTGTAATGTTCACATTTAGGTAAGACTGTGTATATTAGTTAAAATAGGAATGATGTTTTCTTAATGTCAGCCACTGCTCAGTGGATGTTACTGCAGTGATGTTCTGGCTTCACCTCACTCCTTCCACAGGCCAGTGTAGAGCAACATGAAAAGACCTAGGATGATCTCTTTCAAGTTCGGAAAGTTCAGATAAATGTCAAAATAAGGGAAGAAAGCAGCACATTATGAAAAGAGTATGTATAAATATATATAACTGTATATACACACATTCTTGTGTATTTTGACAGTCAATATTATCATTTTTATCAAACTATAGTACCAAATAAGAACCTTATATATCCTTAAAATGTATAAAATGATTTAGCGGTGCAAATTAGTTATAGTTATGGTTAGAAGTGGAATTACGGCCTCCCAATAAGAATTAAATGTGCCGCAGCACTAAATTATGAAGAAAACTGTACAGTTTTCTCTTTCCCTGCAAAGTCCCACAAATACCTGTTGATCCTGCCAGAGAAGGCCATCTAATGCAGCTGTGATGGTGTGGCAACAATGCTGCACTGCTTCTGAATTCAGAGCAGAGTTGCCACGCTCATGTATGTTGTGCCTACTTGACATACAGTGGAATGTTGCCAGGGTGTGGCTATAAGCATGATCAAAGCTGATTCACAAGTTTGTAGCTTGTCAATCAGCACCTGGCCATATCTAGTCCTTGCCACCTGCTTTTTTTGACGGCTCTGCATCTGTCAAAAAATAAGGTTCCCCTGCACATCAGAGTCCCTCCTTCAAATCAGGAACCCCTTTCACACCAGAATCTCCCCTCTCACACTAGGAGTCCACCTTCACATCAGAGTCCATCCTTTATATTAGAGGCCTGCTTTCATATCAGAGTTCCCCCTTCATAACAGGAACCTGCCTGTACTTTAGAATGGCATGAGGCTGTGGAAACATTCTGTACCCATGAGGAAGCCAAAAGGCTCCCTGTTTGAGAAAGCCTGGTTTAGACTGTCAGACAGGAGCCTTTAGCTGTACATTAAAGGAGAACTATGGGGTCAGGGTTTTTCCCCATAGTCCTCCTTAGGGTAACGGGAGGACACAAACTAGCGTCCTCCCGTTACCCTAAGCGCAGTATACCGCGAGCTACAGCTCGCGGTATACTGAGACGCCGGAGCGGATCCCGACATCGATGTCGAGATCCGCCCAGCTGCGTGAGTGATAGCTGGCTCTGCCTATCTAGAGGCAGAGCCAGCTGTACCCGCCCCCTCCCCCGTCCGTTCCGCCAGTCAGTCGGAGCGGGGAGAGGGGAATCGAGCCCCTCCCCCCCACGGCAGAGAGCCGTGACAGGATCGAGAGGTGAGCGAACGCCGGTATATGTTCGCTCACCTCCCGATCTACTGAGCCGACCTGTGACAGTCTCATTGTCACAGGTCGGCTAGAACTATGAGGTGAGTGAAAAGCACTTACCTCATAGTTCTCCTTTAAGTATGCTGTATCTAAGGATCTCTATATGCAGATGTTGTCTGGGATGTATTGAGACACTATATTTCACCACTGCTAATCTATAGGCACCTCTCCGTTACATTTACACCCTTGCTTCTGTCTATCCTGATGTCACTTGAGATACCTGGATTAGGCCTCTATGGGCATTGAGAGTGACCATATATTATGCAGAGACAGCTTTACTCTTTAAGGCTCTGATTCACACAGGTTTCAGTCACCACTCACAAGGCCACTAACAACCTTGTTGATAGATCAGTAGGTTTAGCTTTGCAACAATTATTTTCCAACGTTTTTCCTGCAATATGACCACAACATATCTATTTACTACACCATAAGGGCTCTCTTCCTCTTTTTCTTCCTGTGGTTGTTCTGAGGTTTTATCCCCATTAGGAGCGCCACTTACATTTCATAGGGCATTACGTCTTACTCTTTTACCTGCAAAAAGAATTTGTAATTATGTTCTGTCACTCTTGTGATTTGCACACCTCTATTCTGATACTCATTTCCTAATACAGCTTCTTTTGGCACCTCTCAGCCTCCATGCTGCTTATTGGAGAATAAGGATTAGAATCATGTCCCTTTGCGCAGGGTGCAGGTTCGTGATCAAGGGAGTAGCAATGCTGAAATGGAAAGCAGAATGATTTTCCTGGCTGTGCAGTGCGGGAAAGGTGTGTAAGACTGTCTGAAAAGAATTACAGACTACATTACTTGTTCATAGATATATATATCTAACATATACATTCTGTGCATACTTAGTGATTTTGTTTTACTGTTCCTGCTATCCCAATTTAAGTGTATGTGGCAGATGAAAAGGAGAAGCGTTATCCAAAAGGTTTGACCTAGACAACTCCAATGCTGTTAGCTCACCTTATGCACAAATACATATAGATTTTTTTTTAGGGCTGGGGAAATTAACTATTAATTCCTCGATTAATCATTAAACTTTTTGATTGATTAAAATTGTTTTGATCGAAAATGAAAAGACTCACCTCTCCGGTGACGTCATGGACATCGACGTCATCGAACTCCTCCCCCCTTCCCCAAGTGTCTGTCGGCTAACGAAGGGAAGGGGGAGGAGTCCGGTTACGTCAATGTCCGTGACGTCACCAAACTCCTCCCCCTTCCCTTCGTTAGCCACCAGGGCCGGTGAGTTTACCCAAGAAGCACCAAGCTTCTGTCTTATCTTAAACTTATATATATGCACTATGTGGCTCTCCATCACCCCCCCATCTCGCTCCCAGAAATGTGCCCATTGAAATTTACTGATATTATGTTGCAATCAGGCCCTTACATGAAATGGAATGGACAGGTGCTGCTACTTCAAATATTAAGCTAATACTTATGTTTAAATCACCCTTAGGGCTTTGCTGTTTTACTATACTATGTAAATACATTTGTAATCCAGCACAATATTATTCTGAGTTGCCACACTCAAGCGGCGGCCATATTGTGTGGGGCACATGAGATTAATATGCTGGATTAGTGTGATCCTAGTATCAGGAACACAAACATTTTGATCATTACCAGCCCTAATTTTTTCTTTCAGTTACTGTTATTTCCCATTTAGGAATAAATATACATACAAATCTACTCAAATAAAGCGTGCAAGAAAATTCTCCACCCCGACTGGAAAAAAATAGAAATCAGTAATACTTGAATGAAGCATTTTAATATACAGCAAGGAGTTTGGCTGCATTCAATAGTTTAGACACAAAAACAAATAAAACAAAACAGCTTCAGTTTCATATCATTAAGGTGTGTTTTCATCTTTACTGAAATCCGGAGCTTTGTATTTCCCTTCCTTCTCTAGTTTCTTCATCTGATTCCTGATGGTCTTCAAACGCTCCAGCTGGAAGAAAGAATGACACATTATACATTCTGCTGGCTCATACTGTGCAGACGGTCATATAACAACCTATACAAATAGTAAATGTCCTTTTTATGACCTATATAATCATACCTTCTCCCTCTGCTCATACATTTCACCTAAAGCCACATTCATGCCTCTCCCATTTAACAATGTTAAAACATTTGTCAATTTTAATACAAGTGTAAAATGCATCAAAACACATTTTTCAAAACAACCTCTATGGTGGCCCTCCAGACAGCAATTCTAATAATTTCTGCCAGCTTATGACTACAAATACAACTGAATATGTCAATGCAGCATACCAACAATTTCCATTTGCCAGTTGACAGAATTTGTTGGAATGCCCCATTGCCAATATAGGGATAGTATTCACATTAATTCCAGGGAGCTGGATGGCCAGGTACTATCCAATTGCTTTCAGACACCCCTGTTTTCTAACCCACCTGATCTATAGCGGGCACGCACGGGCAGAAAAGACCCGACCATTGCACACACCCGTTACCGGGTGTTTCACATATAGGCGATCAGCGGGTCCATAGCAGCAAAACTATGCTTTGTTCAGGAAGTATAAAGCATCAAGTTCAATTTAATTCTACCGTCCCCAATGGCACAGCGCTCTGTTCAACAAAAAGGCGACGCTGCTTGTGAGCTCCAAGAAGCTCTAGTGAGAACTCATTTAAAGTGACACTAAACTCAGGAGGTAAATCCTAAAAATACATTCAAGTCCCCTAACAATTACCAAACATGTATGTTATTTGTGTATCACTCAGCTGTAGATCCTCAAATCATCTCTGAATTACTGCTGACACTGTCCTTCCTTCTGGAGGGTGGCTACTTTCTTCCCCATGGTCCCCGTGTGTGTTGTAAAGTAGTCACCGCTCCAAGCTCACTCCCATGGTGGACTGCAATCGCAATACAAATTATTAAACTAAATATGAGATTGTAGTCCATCACGGAGGGAGCTAAACTTCACTGTTTACCTGAGGAGGCAGCTGGTTAGAGATCCAAAATGCTGCACTGCTTGTTATGTGACTAATAAATTGCTCATGTACTGGTGATTGCCACAATTTCTGGAATAGGAACGGCACCATCCGTTATTAAACACTGCAGCACACATAGGTCGAGGAGCTGTTAGGAGTGCACCATACTCTCTTCAATACATACATAGGCTGCCCACTTACTGTTTTGGTTCTGTGCATACACTCCAGAAAGTCCTCATATTCCAACTTGCACTCCTTTTCTGCTCGGACTTGTCCAATGCCATGGGCGCACTCCACCCATTCTTTCTCAAATGCGTGGCAACGTCCAGCATTGTGATCAGCTTGCTTTCCACTCTGCAGAAGCAACCATTTGTCTACATCAATGCCGAGTTTGCTCTGAAGATCAATAAATGGCATGACTGCAAAGAGCACCAGCAAAGCAAGGGTTAGAAATTACATTTATGCCGTACTTCAAAGTGATATTTTCATCTTTTACAAGCAGGAAGTAGTTATAATATTTATCAGTGCAACAATCACTTTTTCAGCATTAATTACCAACTAAAGAGAAATTAGGATGGACTGGTTACAATCCAGTTGTCTAAAGTCTCTTGTTTAAGTAGATCTAAATCCAAGTAGACAACATGGCGGGAAGGGAGTAATGACTGGTCGCACAGCTTCAGGAAGCCAGGTGGCGAGTCATAACAAGCCGTCCAGCTTCCCGCCCAACCAGGAAGCAGGAGGGCGAGTCATTACCCGCCCCCTGGCTTCCTGATTAGCCAGCTCCATGCTCCCTGGTGATGAGGAAGCATGGAGCCAGGCTTCCTGGCCAATCAGGAAGCTGGGCAGTGTGTAACGACTCACCGCCCGGCTTTCCGATACCGGAAGTTCCGGTATAGGGACAAGTATCGGAAGCATTTGGGTGAGTACGAGTACTCGACCAAATACTCAGTATCGGCACCGATACTAGTATTGGTGCATCCCTACTTGCAAGCATTTAAGCACACTGGAGCGCATTCCCAGCCAGCTTCTTGCATTCAAGAGCAGCAGGGGGCGTAGCTGTGCCATTGGCACCACAGGCACACCCCCCGCCCACAGTGCAATCACCCGCACCGAAACACGAGGTACAGGATTGCCCTTCGTTCCAGTCCAGTGCGGTCTTAAAAAAATAGTGTTTGCAGCATTTGTTTAGATTGCACTGGACCGGAATGCAGGCATTGTTTGCCACGTGTTCTGGTGCGGACAATCGTACTGCGGATGGGAGGTGTGGCTGCGGTGCCATTAACTTCAATATATAGCCCCGCCCCCTCCCACCGCAAAAGGCAGGAAGACTGCTATAATGCGCTCCAGTGCGTTTCAGCAGCAAATCGTGCTGGAAGGCACAGGAGCTGGTGTGAACGGACCCTCACCCCGCTACCCAATTGATAGCTGGCTCTGCCTCTCTAGAGCCAGCGCCAGCTGTGCCCACCCCCTCTTTTTTCTGTCCCTCTAATGAGTGCTGGAGGAACGGAGAGATGGGAGGGGGAAATCCCTTCAAGGAACTGACAGTAACTACTCTCTGTAGGGAGACCATGAACTGAGTGATCAGCAGTTACATGATCAGCTCTCAGTATATAGTGCCGTCGTGTGACATCTGCAGTGTCCAATGTTGGCACTAATTTGGGAAAAGTACATTTTACTCTTCCAATAGTTCTCGTTTAATGAAGTTCATCTTTAAGATGGGATCAGATAAAGTATTAGCTGTCTATATTCAGTTTCATTGTATTTAATGATCATTTAGGTGGTACAGTACTCAATTGAACATGATTTAATCACAATTTGAAAAAGCTTAAAAATCTTTTGACTTTAACGATGCTGACAACCTGATTTTCTGATGCTTCTGAGTGAATAACATCTATCTTGATGAGACATAAATGATGTTACCCATGCTTATGTATTGGCTCGCAATGCACAGATGTTTAGCTAATAAGACCATCCATGTAAATTAAACTTTTTTATAGAGTTTAACGACAACTGTTCACCTGCCCCTTGCACTAGTAAACTACATGCACTGTCCATGACCTGCACACACTGGAGAGCAAACAGTGTGATACTGGGGCTCAGATTAGAGGCTGACAAGACTGTCGCCACCACCATCTCTCCTGAGGGCTCTGCAAGGCCAGTGCCCTTCTGCCATACACCATGACAGGCACAGCAGCCACTACACACACGATCAGACTCCGCGATTATAAAACATGTCTTTACACAGCTCTACCTACCGCTTGAGGTCAAACTAGTAACTGGCACACCTCAGCAGCTCCGAACGTCCTCTACTCCAGAGAGTTCACGACGCAAAAAGCCGTAAAGCGCCTGTCATGTGATGCTCCAAGTAGCAGCCATCTTTGAAGAGGGCGAATGTATAACGATGGTTATAATGTCCGAATGCATACTGTCCGCCTCATTCACGCGTTCGCTTCAAATTCAATAACATTTGTGACAATGAGAGTGAACTTTCAATTTTGTGACACATTTGTCTAAAGTTATCTTACCTTACCGCACTAGGCCAGCCGGTGTGTGACATAAAAAGTCGCACAATTTCTTTACGGCGCCCCCTTGCGTTTGGAGGACCTCGCGTGCACTTTAGAGAATTGTCAAAAGACAAGCAGCAATAGGAAGCACCACAGCAGTGATATCAGTAGACCTTGGACAAATAACACGTTTGATGCTTAGAAGGGACCATAAGCAGCTTGTTCTTCCTAAAGCTGGCCATACACTTATCGATTATCTTCAGATTTTCTATGGTCAGATGAAAAAAGTGCAACAGATTCCTCCATCTACATTATACTGTGTGGATAGAGGAATCTCAAGCTTCAGTATCTGGCTAGTCGCCCTGCTGGCTCTCAAAATACCTGAACGATGCCTGCATCCAATCAGATTGTTCAGGTATTTTGAGAGCCAGCGAAGCCAACTAGCAAGATACTGAAGCTTGGCCCAGTGGGAGATTCCTCCATCCACACAGTTTAGCGTAGATGGAGGAATCTGTTGCACTTTTTCTATCTGACCATAGAAAATCTGCAGATACTCTATAGGTGTATGGCCAGCTTAACACTGCATTCCCTACCCTAATCCACTGCCAAAGCCCTGAGAAATTCCTGGTACTTAGGGGACAATGTACGATATCTTATTGCTACTTCCATTAAAGTAGAACTGAAGCCAAAAGTTTTTTTGCCATTTTAGATAGAGTAAGGGAGGGTTATAATCCATCACCTTTTTTGCTATCTGTGTCCCATTGGAGAGATTTTCATTCACTTCCTGTTTCATAGCCACAACAGAAAGTGAGAGGAAATCCCTCCAAAGAGAGGGAAATCCCTGGTGGTCAGCAGAACTAGTGTCCCCATTGGAAGATTTCCCATCTGTTCCTGTTCTGTTGATAACCCAAAATTTGGGATTTTCATAACTTCCAGTGATAATCATCACCAGAACAAAGAGGCAGGGTGAATCTACCCAACGGGGACATAGACAACAATAAAAACCTGACAGTGGGTCTAATCTCTCTTTAATCTATCCATAACAAAAAAAAAGTTTTGGCTTCAGGTGAGATGTTATTTTCTTATTTTGTAGTTTAATTGCTTATTCACTGTTTTCTTTAATTCTTGTCTACCTTGCCACAACAACATTCTGATTGGGATACTAATTCATTCAGCAGGATGATTCACCTGCAAGGAAAGTTTGGTGACTGTCACATTCACTGCTCTATAAAGATGTCCCATAGGGTTGTAAAACTATTATTCCCATGTATTTTGTAATTGCTAACGTATGAGTCACTGGAATTACAATTGGGAGCGATTAAAGCATTTGTGACACTTTTCTGATTGTATGTTCCCTTTAAAAAGTCCTCCGCCTAATTCATGAAAGCCTTGCGACAGTTTTGTTGAGTCCCGACACATGTAACAGATTCAGGTAGTTCTTATTTGCACCGATTTCACAATGTGTGGCTATGGCTGTGACATATTCAAAAATAATTGCTACCAGTTCATAGATAAGGAAACTGGAAGGAATCAATACCAACTCTAAGTTGGTGTCAGTGTTTTTGGTTGCACAACACTCTTTAATTCCAGGGATTGTTGTTTTCCCTGGAGAATCTAATGTGCGTGCAACTGACCAGAATCCTTGTTACTGGTAGCCCGTTCACCCAATGATGTTGTCACCCAGGGTATACCTTTTACAGTAATAGACTATGCTGCTATGAAACCCTACAAGTATAGTTACAGCCATCACTGTGACAAAGGGACTGTTTCACCTTCTTATGGTTTGCATAGAAGCCCCTGAAGATCTTGTTGCTCAACTATAAAGATGATTAATTCTGCATTATATTTCCTTATTCTCTATAGATCATACAGAAAAGCCAACTATGTCCAGTAGGACAGAGTGCCCACCATTCATTATTACTCTTGGATTCTAAAAAGGCTGCTGCTATCAGGGTGCCAAATCTGCTGTTTTCTTCAGTGATGCTTCTTCTAGTTGGACAGCAGGTAAGGATCTTCTTATTTCAAGAATGTTCTCCCTTTGATAACAGTTAATTCAGTTTTCTTCAAAAACATAGACATTCCAAGTATGATGTAATTATGTTATGTGAGAATGTATCTAAAACATGTTTCATGCTGACAAAATCCTTAATGTAATCCTCTGCCCAGACTATGCACAATTAAGCATTTGCATAGTCTAAACAAGCAGTAAAAACACTTTAAAAGAAGCCTTCGTTCCCCTCTGTAGCTTTAGGTATCGTGGAGAAATTAATCTTCAAACAGCGACACTGAAATCTTAGTGTTTTTTTTTCCTTCTATAATAGAATTCTGGCAGCCTACAAGCTTTCTAATGTAAGCACACAGCAGGTATTTGTAGGCTGCTAAGAACTGACTTTGGAGTCTTTGTTATGTTTGAGAATGAATAACTCCACAGTAAAAGTAGCTAGACAGGTCAGGGATTTCCTTATTTAAAGCTCCTTTACAGCCTGTTAATAATATGTAAATACTTTAATGACCATAGCCTGGGCACTGTATTAAATCACCAACACCTAAATGAAATTTGCTATTGCATGTGATTACACAACATCAGAAAGTGTTACATGCCCTTCTTTAAATTAGTGGTGTACTACACGTTACAATATGATTGTGCAATTTTCTTTAGCTCTACCAGCAAGTACGTAGTGCAAGGGCCTGCCTTATTGCATATAGAGTGGATAGTTTAGGTAGGTCTAGATATAAAATTGTACAGAGATTGTACAGGCAGAGCCTTACTCTGTTTAGCTGAGTGATGGTGATTCCTACTGAACCAGACTGAGAAACCATTTAAAGGCTCAGGAACCCTTTGCAGGTGTTATGGCTTAATTAGCTGATTAGAGTGGGAGACTTTGGGCCTTGAATATTGCAACTTTTCACAATATTCTCATTTTCTGAGATTGTGGATTTGGGATTTTCATGAGCTGTAAGCCATAATAATCACAATTATGACAAATCACGGTTGAGCTATCTTGCTTTGCATGTAATGAGTCTCTCATATATTAGTTTCACCTTTTAAGTTGACTCCAGCCTCAGTCCACTCCTTGTGAAAGTCCCCAACACTCTTGAATGGCCTTTTCCTGACAATCCTCTCCAGGCTGCGGTCATCCCTGCTGCTTGTGCACCTTTTGGGCACATCCAACTTCTTTTGCAATGACCTTTTGAGGCTTTCCCTCCTTATGGAGGGTGTCAATGATGGTTTTCTGCACAACTGTCAGGTCAGCAGTCTTTCCCATGATTGTGATTCCTACTGAACCAGACTGAGAGACCGTTTAAAGGCTCAGGAACCCTTTGCAGGTGTTATGGCTTAATTAGCTGATTAGAGTGGGAGACTTTGGGCCTAGAATATTGCAACTTTTCACAATATTCTCATTTTCTAAGATTGTGGATTTGGGATTTTCATGAGCTGTAAGCCATAATAATCACAATTATGACAAATCACGGTTGAACTATCTTGCTTTGCATGTAATGAGTCTCTCATATATTAGTTTCACCTTTTAAGTTGCATTAGTGAAATAAATTAACTTTTGCACAATATTCTAATTATTCGAGTTTCACCTGTATACACACAGAAAGTTCATACAAAAAAAAAAAAGTAAGGGCAAAACAATTTTTTTTTTATAAGCCTGTTTTACTTGACAGACCAGCTGCTGACAAGCGAGAAGTACTCCCATCACAATTTAAAGTGACACTAAACTCGGGAGTTAAATCATAAAAATGCATTCAAGTACCTTAACCATTAACAAAAATGTATCTTATTTGTGTATCACTCTGCTGTAGATCCTCAAATCATCACTTTGAGCCTAGAATATTTCACCTTTTCACAATATTCTCATTTTCTGAGATTGTGGATTTGGGGTTTTCATGAGCTGTAAGCCATAATCCTCACAATGATGACAAATCACGGCTTGAACTATCTTCGCTGTAGATCCTCAAATCATCTCTGAATTCATGCCGGTACTGTCCTTCCTTCTGGAGGGTGGCTACTTTTGTTCCCTATGGTCCCTGTGTGTGTTGTAAAGTAGCAACCAACATCACTCCTGTGATGAATACAATCTCAATACAAATTAGTAAACTTAACATTGTAACATACTAAGGCACACAACTAGGCTCTAGGAGGCCCATGGTCGTGAACAATTGTGGCAAGCATCCAGTAGAAAAAGGGAGATTTTTAAACTCATATGTAAAACTGTCTTTTAAAGATTAAGTGATTTGCCAAGATAAAATACACAGGGCCGTCTCTATAATGAGGCAGGTTGCCTCAGATGGCATCTCATTGAGTCACGTCCGGGAACCGCCCCCTTTCCGGTCAAAGCATCCCAGGTGGCTAAGAGCTCTTAGCAACCTGTGATGCTCTGGCCTGTGTCCCTCTCAGCTTTTGGCAGCCAGTGGTGTCACCCCTCTCCAGGAACGTGCACCAGTAGCAAATGCCCCCATAACGTACACCATTAGCGAACCACCACGTGTTAGGCAGCGTATAGTGTAGAGACACCACTGTGAATAAAATTTATATTTTAAATGTAAAAAAAAACAAAAAAAATTCCACTTGATTGTATTGTTCCCTTGATGTTTGAGGGACGCAGTGGGTTATTGTTCAATCGCTCTAGTGATTGGTGGTCTTCTAGATAGGTCACAAAATAGTATATTTTAAAAAAGTATAACAATATTTATTTAAAAACCACAAACCTTAAGCTCCAGGCAAGCAACTTTGCTTAAAACCGAGATAATATCTTCAGTCGGCTACAGGCAGGAGAAAGCATTTCCTCTGTCTCCCCACCCCCAGTAGGAAGATATGAATAAGCCACGACTAATTTTCCCC